ATGGTGGCGCATGCCTGTAGTCCCAGCTACTCGGGAGGCTGGGGCAGTAGGATCACTTGAGCCCAGGAGTTTGAGGCTGCTGTGAGCTAGGCTGAAGCCACGGCACTCACTATAGCCAGGGCAACAGAGTGAGACTCTGTCTTAAAAAAAAACAAAAACAGACTCTACTTAATCAAATCACTAGAAGGTGGCAAAAAAATTAGAAATTATCAGAATAGTATCAGAAATAAGGATTTAAAAATATGAATGAAATTTACACTGAGTGTATAATATGCCTTAGGATACTAACATAGTAAAATATGCATCTAAGTTACAGATGCACAATGGGGCTCTGTGCATAAAATCTTAGTGATAGAGTAGATGATAAAAAATAATTTGCAAACCACTGGTATTTCAATGAGTTATATCTATCCTAAAGTCTGAGTTACTTTCCTAACTCCTATTCCTACACAATGCTCACTTTGAGGATTCTACTGGGGAACACTGGTATTCATCTAATTTATGGGTGTCATTTACATGTTTCTAGCGGCAGGATCCTCACTGCTATTTGATTGCACCATTAATCTGAAGCCATCTATTTAAATTTCTTTCTGTACAAGGTTTATGAAAATAATATAATTGAAATATTCAAAAATAGATATAAAAATATATTATGTATGAGTATTTATGTGCAAAACCAAATGTACGCTGGTTTTACTAAATCAAATGATTGAATATTCAATTCAGTACTTAAAATGAACTGTTAACAGCATGTTTGCCTTTACAATTATAAGATTAGATGCCTAGAGTCAAGGTATTGATTTTTATGAGTCAAAGTCTGAAATGTTTACTAAAGTTATTCATTTTTAAAAATGTTTTTATTTTTGATGCTATTTCAGTTTATTCCAACTGTACAATAAGCAATGAAGTCAGCTACGAAGTGCTTCAGTTTTACTCTATCTCCCTCTGCTTCTAAAGCACAGTCATAGAAAGTTCTAAATAGCCTGCTAGTATAGTTCCACAACCCTTAAGAATTTGGATTATGAGACATACATTCTAGAGTTCCAGCAGAAATAAACAGCTAGGAGTTTTTTACTAATTCTTACTCATTGTATGTCGAAACCATTTTTATGTCACCTTTATTCTTAAACAATTGTTGAGCTAAGTATAGAATTAAAAATCTCCGAGGAGCCGAAATATATTTATTTAAAAATCATCTTCAGATTCTTCTATTTTCCTGTCTTTTGGAGTCAATCAATGTCCTGATTGTTGATCAGGCTGGCTGTCTTGAAGTAAGCCTGCCATTTCCTGGAAAACTGATAGTATTTGTTGCCACTGATATAATTTGAGCTTCTAAGTATTAAAAAAAAAAAAGTTTTCTTCATGTGTTCTAGGATATTTGATGTAGGCTCAGCTCGATTGTTTTTTTCCCCCTTTCTATCCACGTCTAGTGGTTTTATGGTCATTTCTGCTTGGCATTCTGAGTCCCCTAGTCCAACACCACACCTTATGATGGGACCCCCCAAACCACCAACATAAGAGAATATTCAAGGCATCACAAATCCAGACATTAAGCCTCTAGGTAGATTGGTCCAGTCCAGGTCTTAGTTAGGTGACTATATCTCTTTCTTTCTTTCTACACCTTTAAGTACTCAGTTCTATGTAAGTCATAAATCAGATAGCAGGCTGAGCTTTTTCCAGATTTAATTCCCAGATCTGAGAATGGTTCTTCTCTCATCCATATTTTCTGTTGTTTCTGGTCCCCAGTGATATATTAGAACAACAATTCTCAATGTGTGGTCTGTGGACCCCTGGGTGCTTCCCAAATTCTTTCAGGAGTCCACAAAGGTCAAAAATAGTTCTATAACAATACTAAGAAATTACTTGCCTTTTACAATGCCTTAACATTTGCTCTGATTGAGCAAACACATCGGCAGGGAAAACTGCTGGGCTTTGGTAAGAATCAGCAATAGTACCAAACTGTATTTCATTGCCACACACTTGCAGTTTAAAAAAAAAGTCAGTTTCACTTAAGAATGTCTTTGATGAAGTAGTACAAATTATTTTTATTAAACCCTGACCCTGGAGTCTTAATATTCTGTATGATGAAATGGGAAGTGTAAAGAAAAACTTTTGCTGCATACCAAATACAATGGTTGTTTCCAGATAAAGCATTTAAGCAAATGAGCTATAAGCTGAACTAGTGTCTCGCTCTCTTTTTTTGTTAACGCCACCAAAACTCTCCCATCTTCACAAATAGTGGGTTCATGCTCACTGCCTTCACTTTCTTAACCACACATCCATTCAGCTTACCACAATCTGGCTTCTGATTTTACTGAAACTGCTTCTGCTAAAGCCAATAGCCTCTGATTACCAAAACCACGGGACACATTTTAGTACTTATTTTACTTAACCTTTCTATTGCATCTAACATTTTTGAGCACTCTTTTCTTGAAATTCTAATAATAATGATGCTAAGATGTTATTTCTCTCCATCTTCCTAACCATTCCTTCTCCCCTTGGCAGAAGTTATGTGTTACATCTGCAGCCCAAGCTTGTATTTTAAACTCTAGATCCACATATACAATTGCCTATAGTATACCACCACTTATATAAGAACTAAAAGAGACCACAAACTCAATACATCTCCTATTGACCTTCCATAAAAAAATCTGCTCCTCTTCCTCTTAAAGACATACCTTGGATAATGATGCCATACCAATCCAAGTCAGAAATACAGCAGTCATTTTAGAGTCCTCCCTCTTCTTCACTTTCCAAATATATTCTATTAATAATTTCTAAACCTCTCTATCCCTAATGCAACTAATTTTAGGCCTTCATAATTTCTCAAGCAACAGATCTCCCTTCCTCCAAGTCTGACCTTTTCAATTCACCCTCTACACTGCTGACAAAATGATAATTTCTAAAAGGCAAATCTAATTATATTATTCATTTGTTTAAAACCCCTGAGTAACTCCCTACACCCTATAGTAGGGATTCTGGGCTTGTTATCCAAAAAACACCCCAATATTCTGTACTTTGCATTTTCCTAAGGAAAGGGCCCAGATTCCCAACTATTAACCTGAGGGGACAAGCCCTTTGAAACCTTTCGGAATCATCTCAAACCATATCCTTCCTAAACATATTCCAACCAAACCCCAATTACTTTAAGTTCTTATACAGGGCTATGCTGCTTCAACTTTTCACACCACTGAACTTAAGAGTCCCTGTGCTTGGAAAGCCACTCCTCACCCACTGGGCAAGTGAACAAGTACTCATCCTTCAACAGTTCTTTCCTCTCTGAAGTCCTCCCTTGCTCCTCCAAGCAACTGCTCTCTCCCACCTTTCATCCACTATACTTTGCATATACTTTATTACAGTATTTATTATATGGCACTTTCATATTTATTTTCATGCCCTTCATCCTTAATAGATCATGAGGAAAAGACCATGTTTTAGTCATGTTTGTATGCTAGTGTTTAGCATGGTGCTGATATATAACAGATACTCAAATATTTGTTGAATAAATATTCACTACACCATTAACAATGTGTAATCTGTTCATAAAAGGCTCTCCTGTACATTAACAAGCTGTTCAAACTAAGTGTAGTATTTCCTTAAGCTTAAAACAGGATATTTTTCAAAATACATCAGAAACTAATGAACTTATCACTGGTGCTTTAAAATATTAAGGAAAAAATTTAAGTTTTTAAAAAACCTGACAAATAATGAAAGCACACATATAAATAACTGTTTAAGTGAAAATCTAAGTTATTAATTATAAATTTAATTGCAATCCTCGATGAGACTCAATCTTTCTTAACTTTTATATCTGGATTAGCAATGTGATTTTTCCTCCTGCAATTTTTAATTTTTATATGCCAAATAATAACTTTCTTTATATTTAAATCTGGACCTACGTTTAAAAAACTCTTAAGTATATACATTTACGTGTCTTTAAAGTAGACATCTGTATGAAATCAGCACTATTTCAGTTTTCAGAAAACACCAAGCAAAACTCTCTGGGAATGGTGTAGGTAGGAAATCCTATTAAGTACCCACTAGAGAATTTGAGTTTTTGTGTTGCTTTTAAAAACATTCTCGGTAGGTTATTTAAAATAGGAAACTGGAAGTTCTCATTCTTCTTCATCATCTTATCACTGAAATAAAGGGTGGAAGAGTAATGGATGTAAATGTTGCTGGCTATAAACACGACTTGCCGGCACAAAGGACAGATGCCAGCTGTCTATTAATACGAACCTGAAAATGAGCACTGAAATATGCACTGGGCCACTAAGTTTGAGGGAAGCCTACAGTGCCTGGTTTATTCGCTAACTCCTCCAAGTAACTGATCATTGCCAAGGTCGAATTAATAAGTCTCCTTTGATGTTAATGATTGAGTGTTCCCAGGAAAGGACTAAAACCTGACTTTCCAAACAAGATGTTGCTTGGAAATACCCAAAACAAACTCAATGTCCATTCCTAGCGTGTTAATTGAACCGAACTGACTCGATGCGTTTTAAGTCCTTTACTCCGCTTCTCTGGCCCACAGTTTATTTTCAACTATTTTTATTTCGGACCCAAACTCAAAGCAAATCAAGAACGGAAAGCTTGTCAAATCACTTTCACAAAACGAAGTCCGCTTCCGAGACAGCCGGGCCTTGAGTCGGCACAAGGCAGGGACGCACCCGCTGACCCTCCCGGGGAGCGACTTGGGGCGTCGGGTTTCGATCAGACCGCAGCAGGAAGTTTTCCCTTACTTTGCGGGAGGCAGGAGAGCCAAAGGGAAACCTGAACTCCCCCGCCACGGGGGCACCCAGAGGTGAGCTCTGGTGTGGGTGGGCGGCTCCGCCCGGAGCCAGGCGGCCGAGGGACTCGTGATTCGACGCCGGCCGCGGCGTCTCCGCCCCGCGCGGCCCAGCCGCGGCCTCCCTGCCCTCCCCCGCCGCCACTCCGGTCCCGCGGCGGCTGCGGCCTCAGAGCCCGCGCGGGGAGGCCCTCGCCGCGCGGGCTGCACTTACCCACTCGAGGACCTTGATGAAGCCGAGAGGCTCCTTGAGCGGGTTGAGGTTGATCTGGAAGGCGGACATCCTCTGAGGGAAGGAGAGACCGACAGAGAGAGAGAGAGAGAGAGAGTCAAGACGGCGGGTAGGAAGAGGAGGGGACCGACGAGACCCGCGCGGCCGGGCGGCGAGGAAGGGCAGGCGGGGCGGGCGGGCTGGCTCGGGGGCGGGCCCTGGCGGCCGCGGGGCGTGGCGGGGCGGCGCGGGGCGGCGGTTGAGCCGCTGGCCGTGGCGCTGGGGCGGAGACGGAGGACGGCCGAGGAGGCGAGGGGCGGGCCGGAGCTGGGACCGGGAGGCTCCTCCCCGGGCCGCACCTGGCCGAGCCGGCTGATCCGCTGGCGAACCAAGTAGATATTGGACGCCATGCTGCGTGCGCCGCGCCCCCTTCCCTGAAGTCCGGCCCCCGGCGCCCCGTCTCCTCCCGCGCACGCGCGCGCGCACCTCAGGCCCGCGCCGCGTTTCCGGGCCCGCGCCTGCGCAGCCGGGGCCGGCTCCCGCGCGAAGCCCTCGCTTCCCCTGCCTGGCTTTTCAGGCTCTCAGGTCTCCGGGCCGGCCTCCCCTTCCCCCATCTCCTTCACAGATCTCAACTTTTAGGTGAATTCATAATGTACTGACACAGCTAGAGCCTCGTTTCAAGGCTTGCGTTAGGGGCCTTTTATTAAAATGGTGGAAAGTTATTGGGGAATGACGGGCTTTCGGCGACCATGCTGTAGGGTATCTCTGAAACGTGATTCACCAAAGTTTCCTACGGAAATTAGGTTTTTCAAAGCTATCAGAGCCACGGTTGGACGATGAAAAGAAAGGTTATACTTAATAGAAAAAGGCCCTGGACAGGCCCTTGGAGACCTACACGCTTCTACCCTGTGAAGTCCTCTACTTGGGGTACACTTGACATCTTTCTTCAGAAGGCTGACACCTCCTTGAAGACTTAGGTGACGATTTAGGTGAGCTTTCCTCCTAGCAGTTAGTTATCCGAGCACCCCAGGGCAATAATCTCCTTGCTTGTTTCCTCAATACCTGGAAAGTTCCTGGAGAGCTGGAGTGGTGTCCGGTTCATGTTTATGATAAGATGGTTAACAACGTGTAACATCTAGTAAATAAGGAAGAAAGGACATTAACACTAGAGGATCGCCATACCAGCCTCCAACTATTACTTTGTATACACGAACTAAATTTCCAAGCACAAATATGAATTAGGTTACTTGCCATTGAAGTTACTCCATCGGAGCTGACAACTGTCGTTGAACGTCTTTAACCATTTCTCTTTTGAGACCTATTTACCTCGTTTGCTGCCCAGAGAGTGCAAAGAATATAATTTCCTTTCAGACAGAGACAATCTTATTCTTTTTATCCTGGCTCCCATTCCTCAGTCCCCACCACACTCTTGTCCTCGGAAGGTACCTAATGGATGGTTGCAGATTCCTTTTACTAAGCAAGAAGGCATCGTAGATGCCCCTCAGGGTTAGGTCCATGGAAGGTGACCCAGCATTGCTACCCAGTGCACCTGACACCACTATGAACTGTATTCCAGGTCTTCCAGCACACTCTCGCGCGCGCGCTCTCTCTCTCTCTCTCCTCCCTTCCCCCTCTCTCTCCCTGGTTTCTATACCTTCCTCTCAGTACTTTTCTTTTTGTTCTCTTTAACCAGTTTTTTAAAGCTTTTATTCCCATTCTATTGAGGCCTTTTGGGTGGGGGTATTGGAGATGCAGGGTGGAATAGTGAATAGTAGGACTGTTTACCTTGAGCTTCACATTCACAGAGATTCAAATTAGACTCTTAATGTTTCAAAATGAGATACACACTGACAGAGTGGAAAGATGTTCACCTTGCAACTTAACTTTACAGATCTAAAACATGTCATGAGTTAGTAAACCAGTTTTGGCATTTCCTCTTTTTTTTCATTTATTAAAATCTCAGAAATGGGAATTGGCTGGGTGCTTTCTCAGCTTCTGAGATTATCTTTCTGTTGTTTCTGTGCAGCCTCTTGTCACTTTCTTTCCTCCTTGTTCAAGCCCGCCAGTGGCAGGCATGATTGGTTGTTGCTTCTCCCCAGGAGACCTTTAGTACTAGAGTACACTCCTTAAACTTTAGGAAGGTCCCTTCCTTGGCCCTATGCCACTAGTTTTTAAAGACAGAGACCACTGAGAGTGAGCAGAACCACACCTGGTCACTTGTCTGAACTCATTCACAGTATCTGACTCTGTAGAACATAACAGAAGTGAGCCACTGCTGTCACCTTCAGTGACAGCCCAGCACTGCTTCCGCCAATCGGCGGAGCTCAGGGGCCCACCTTCCTGGAAAGGTGGCTGGCAGAGCCAGTTAGATTTGATTTGCTCAGGGGCCCACCTTCCTGGGAAGGTGGCTGGCAGAGCCAGTTAGATTTGATTTGATAGTTGTGATTTTTTTTTTTTAATCTTCTCAAAACAAGAATATTTAAACAGTAGCATCTCATTAAAGGCACACTTCAAAATCTGGGAAGAATGTTCAGAGGAACATATCACATTGACTACCACATTGGTCATTTTCTGATTTGTCCCTCGACTCTGAGGAAAGAGCCAGAAGCTCTGGGCACAGCATGTTCCAGGTCCACTCTACTAGGGCTGTTATGGCCAATAATACATGTAATGCAAAATTGTTCTATCGTTGGTAATAGTATTGGGCTCTATCTGTGGTAGTATAATTATAGTCAAGTTACCTACACAATTTGTGATTGCTTCATTTTTTTCTTTGCTATTTATAAAATATGTGCCAGACTGTAATACTTGGGATTTAGGCGTGCTCAGAAGGCCAGAAAGGAAGCTTTATTTAGACCAGTCGTATTATTGGCTAACTATAACATTCTTTTGTTTTTCTCAATGGGAATACAAAATTTTGGTCATTTTATTGGCAAGATAAGACTTTGTAACTCATTCCCAACCAATATTTATCTTTTTTTCTGAAAAGACAGTGTTTAATACTAACAAGTTCAAAACCTGAGTTTTGCTTATAAATACAAATAGATTTTCTTGTTTTCACTAATGAATTCAACAATCATTTTGGAAAAATTTAAAAGTAACTCTAAGTTTATCTAAAGTATACAATAGATTGATTCAATAGGCCTAGTAAGTTAATCTCAGAATAATTATTATAAATTGAGATCTTTTTAAATAAACTTTCAATTTTTTAATACTTTTGATTTACAGAAAAGTTGCAAAGTACAAAGAGTCCTGTATATACTACTTCACACAGTTTCTCCTAATGTTAACATCTTCTATAACCATCTACATTTGTCAAAACAAATTAATATTGATACATCACTATTGTCTAAACTATAGAATTTTTAAAACTTCATCACTTGTCAATTAATGTCCTTTTATTGCCCCAGGTTCCAACCCAGGAAACCACATTTACTCTAATGAGGTCCTTTTTGAAAGGGTGTTCAGGAGTAGAGGGAAACAAGTAAGACAACATCATTTTCCATTCTGTTGAAAACTAAACAAAGTACATGAGATAGATTCAGTATGTGGCAAATTGCCTTGACCCCAGAGGCCTCCTGCTTTGTGGCTGCTGCCTGGGTATCAGCACTGCCCCACTTAGGTTCCCTGGTTTTGGTGTCCCAGCTTGTATCTGTGATTGCCTGCCGCATATAATGAATTCAGGTACATGTCTAAAGCTCTAAAGCCTGGTGGCTGCTCTCTTACCCCTGGGCCCCACCACCCACGCTAAGTGTAAGTTTCTGGACCCCCTTAGGCTTCTGAGTCCCTTAGAGCAGTGGTACAATTCAGCGGTTAACAGCCCAGCTGTGCTGTCAGATTCCTAGATTTAAACCCTGCTTCTAGTTTGTGACTTTTAGCAAGGGGATTAACCTTCCTAAGTTTCCGTCTCATTCCCAATTTGCAGAGAGGTGATGAGAGCTGTAGTGACGTTTAAATTTTATAATCATCAGAGATCAGTTAGAAGAGTGCCTGGTACAGAGTAAGAACTGAGTAAATGCTACCTGTCATTGTCACTGTGTTCCAGAAACAGTGGGTGCATCAGTCTATCGATTGGATGGTCCAGAAGCAACAGCGACCTACTGCTAGAGCAGAAGTCATTTAAGGAAATCAACTGTATTGGCTAGAGAGAATGACAGCCATAAGGAAGACTGTTCCATTGATAAAAAGAAAGAAATATGAAATGAGAGTAGACTTCTAGAGAGCAAAGCAAATGCAACTTTTTATTTTTTTATTTATTTGTTTTTGAGACAGAGTCTCGCTTTGTTGCCCGGGCTGGAGTGAGTGCCATGGCGTCAGCCTAGCTCACAGCAACCTCAAACTCCTGGGCTCAAGGGATCCTCCTGCCTCAGCCTCTCAAGTAGCTGGGACTACAGGCATGCGCCACCATGCCCGGCTAATTTTTTCTATATATTTTTTTAGTCGTCCGATTAATTTCTTTCTATTTTTAGTAGAGATGGGGTCTCGCTCTTGCTCAGGCTGGTCTTGAACTCTTGACCTTGAGCGATCCACCCGCCTCGGCCTCCCAGAGTGCTAGGATTACAGGCGTGAGCCACTGCGCCCGGCCCAATGCAACTTTTTATTACTGAAAATCATGTGGAGCAAAGGTCATGTTAATTCTTTCTCTGTGGGTCCAATTTGAATCTATTTGTGTGTGAAATTGGCACAGTTCTCATCACCATCTCAAGCTTAGTTCACATTTAAGCAATGAATAAACAGGAAATATGTTGTAATTTGTAGAGGTTAACTTTATAATAATCATCACAAGTACTGTAATTAGGTTTCTAAAGAAAAAAGGCTTATTGTATAATAACTATTGTGTAATAACATAACTTGGCCTTTACGTAGTGTTTTGCATTTTTCAAAGAACTTCCCTAGTCATTTTTTTGTGCGATCCTTGAGTTAAAAGGAGGGTGTAGGAATTATGATCCACATTTTGTTGACGTAGAAACTGAAGCTCAAAGAAGAAAGCATATCAGGAAAGGCTTCATAGAGAAAGTGATGCGGCACTGAAGCTGGAGAAATGTGTAGGGGTTTCCCCAGGTAGATGGGGTAGGGAGTTTTCAGCAGAGGTGCTGCAGAGGGTTGGGCATAGTGACAGAGGAGAAGGGAGTTCTTTAGTGGGACCAAATACTTTGATATGTCTGATGCTTTGGGTAAAGGGAGCAGTGTAGAGGCAGGGCCTTATATGCCAGGCTGAGTTTGAACTTTATTCTCTGCCAGCAAATTGCTTTCAGGCAAAGGAGAGTAACAAGGTCAAATTTCAGTTTAGGAAGATCACTATGACAGTAGTGTAGAAGATGAACTGGAAAGATGTTTAGCTGGTAGGTTCAAGATAGCTGATATTTTCTCAACCTGCTGGTCATGAGATCTCAGGTCCCAGGTATGGTGACAATGAGCAAGAACAGACAGCCAGGTTGGCATTCATACTGCATGCAACACAAGCATGAGATGTAGATGCAGAAACTGCTGGCTCCTGCCCCGGATTTGTCAA